CACCCTGGAATTATTTGAAATGTCTGAGGATTAATTATTGTAAGAATTAAAATGAGTACTCGAAACTAATAAATGAATAAAATGAGTCCTCGAAACCAAAATAATTAAAATTGGAAACTATACGAATTAAAGTGAGTCCTCGAAACTAAAATAGTAAAATGTTATGTGAAAATTGGAAACTATAAACCGCAAACACATGAAATTTGAAAATAATCTTGATTTTAAACCAATAAGAGAGAACGAAACTGAAGCGTGAACAAAACCCTGGAGCACATTCGTACATTAACTAGTATATGCGGGCCCCTTAAACAATCTTCTAAAAGGGTCAATTCTAACTAGACTATCACTCACGTGTAATTTACCATTTTCTGAATTTATTTTAGAAAAACAAAAAATCCCAATAAAACCTGCGTAATATCCGGAAAAGATCTCCATTACCGAATTTACAAGTACTTTATCCGTACTCCTTCCGTGACATCGCTTTATGTTGTGTTGTATGCTATTTAGACGCTAGAAGCAATTACATATGTAGGAACTTTCTTCATAAATTGCAATTAGCGCTTGTATTTCTATTTTTGGGAAATACTTAAGTTTTAGAGTATCAAATTCTTATGATCTACTTAACATTACTGCACATACCAAATATTGTAAAAGTGTAAGATTTACTAATTGAGATATACTAACTGTAATTGACTATATTAATGGATCCAAAACACGTGAACATACAATACAAAATTTTATAACTTACTAGGTTTTATGAACATGTAATGCACATGGTAAAACACGATGATTAAGTAGTTTAATTTAGTTCCTCACTAAAATTTATTTCATGGTTTCACTTTAATAGTTTTTGCTCACTTATGTCTCTGAACTTTAGCATTGTGATTATTTATTTTTTAATGTTTGTTTGGAGAGACTACACTGAATTTAAACTTTCATGTTGATAATTGAATTGACATGAAACAAATGTAATCCAAAGCCAATTTAAAATTTTATATTATTTGGATCGACATAAAACTAAGCTTGACTTGAGAAAGTACAGTGTTGCCAAAGTAAAAAATAGTTAAAAAATAACACTATAAAAATAAGACCAATAATTAAAGTCAATAAGCCAAAATGATTGATTAAAAGTGCACTAGAAAAAAAACTAAAGAGAATTTGAAGTTGTTCCTAATCATTAATAGACTTCATAAAAATCGCAAACTAAAGATTAATGCTAACTCTAGTATACTTTTATATGATAAAAATATTCACATAAGCATATAAAATACTAAAAATAGTTTATAAAAATCTCTTTTAAAGATTTCTAATTTTACTCAAAAAATAAACTATTATATACAATATTCAAAAAATATATATTTTTTATTCCTTCTGTGTTATTTTTTTATTGAGTCGAGATCAATCATTCTCCATCTTTGTTTTTTTCTTGTGCAATTATATAGTAGTGTCTTCATCGTCTACATCAATTATGACATTAGGCTGAATGTGGATTTTTTTTGCTGTTATCTTTCTTTAGGCTCGTTCATCTTTTATCTTGTCGTCTTATTTCACAACGAAGTTGCACATATTTTCCATCAACACAAACATCTAGAAATAAAAAGTTTGATTATTTTCTATTTCAATGAGAATAAAGATTAATTTCATATATATATATATATAACTTTTTTTCTAATTTATTACTTAAATAAGGTTAGGAGTTATCTTTTTTTTCTTTGGCAATGAATTCTTCTGTTTTGTATCTAATAAGAATAGTTGCTACATCAAATAATGTTAACTTTGCTCTGTCCATGTCATTTTCCATGAGGTTCTGTGCTAAACAATTGTATTTTTATTATCAATTTGCCTTAGATTATATTATTCATGTATGTCAATTCAAGCAATTCATTAAAATTCATGAACGTTTGAAATTTGTTTTTAGGAAAACAAAATAAAATCCATAAAAAAACAAAATGTGCGCAATCTTCTTCTGTAAGTTATGAGCACTTTAACCGTACCTCTTCCTGTATCTCCTTTTATGTTATGAACCCCTATTAATTCGTCAATTTGCATATTTCATTTGTAAGTTTTGAAACAGCTAGCATAAAATAAGTTCATGAATGCATTTTAAATCTAAAATTACTAAACAAACTAATGTTGACTATATTATAAAATATACCCTTTTGTAGGAATACTATTCATGGAATTCCTATTAGACTGTGTGTCTATTAATTTTTTAGAAAAATACTTCATCTTTATTGTGTTGTACAAGAAAAATACTAAAATTTGTGTTACTCTACAATAATATCAAATGGTCCTAAAATTATAAGATTTGTCTAGTGATATTAGCTATATTACAAGTAAATAAACCAAATGTTAAAAATAGGAAATTTATAAGATTTAATTACCTAGAAGAGCTCCTAAAATAGAGTTTATCTAATTTATTATTAACAAAAAAAAACTCTATTAATATCCTAAATTTATGCTAAAATAAAGAACTAATATACTTTTTCACCCAACAAATTCATACTCAAATTAAGGGTCTATATAGTTTGTAAAATCAACAATGCAGTAACATTGCATTTAAAAAGTTGCTCAAAAAACAAACATTGCTTATAAAAATAAAAACTAAATGAAGCAATACCTCTCTTTGCGCTTGTTAAGAAACCGCAGCAGGGACATTTTTCGAGATAGTGGCAAACCTGCAAACAGTTATTTCTTCAGTCTTTAAGTTAATGAGTTTTTCTATAGAGTGCCCATGGGTACTCTATAGAAGAGGAGAGAGATAGAGAGAGATGATTAAGAAGGGGGCTCATCTGATTTGCATTGAGATCCCCTCCCCAATCATCTCTCTCTATCTCTCTCCTCTCTTATAGAGTGCACATGGGCACTCTATAGAAAAACCCTAAGTTAATTTACAAAAATAATGCTAGGGGCATATCATGAACCATACTCTCAACCACACCCTAACACTTTCTATAGTGCTAGTGGACCATGTATGATATTTTTTTTAAAAAAATATCATGTATAACCCACTAGCTCTATAAATAGTGTAGAGATATGGTTGAGAATGTGGTTCATGGTGTGCCCCTAGTGGGACTCAATTTACAAACCTGACATGCATTAAAATATTAGAACATTGAAAATTAACTAAAAAAGGATATTGTTTTCACCTCCTCTAAGTTGGGTCAGTATCCTTTCCCTCGCGCTTGCCTCCGATGCTAATCTCATTATTTTCTCCGCCTAAAAAAAAAGGATTCCAAACCCCAAATTTTGATAACCGAGAAAAAAAACAGAGTACTAATTAAACGCAGAAAACCAAAACAAAAGAACTAACTGACCTCCGCCTGTCCGACGTGGAAAACGGAGACGTTCCCGTTGTATGATATCGTCAACGGCGCCGTCACCAGTTCGTTTTCATTCACCGTGCTTTAAAATGCAGGGGGAAAAAAGTCATTTTTTTACTAGCTAGGGACAAAAAATGTTTATTATTACGAATTAACGTCAAAGTTGACGGCGATCGACCGCTACCAGCAAGAAGCGGGGTTAAAGACGGGCGTAAATCTAGAGAGAGAAGAAGAAGAAGACGACGACGACCTTGAATCGAGTTGTGCTCAGAGTTGATCCTTTCCTGAGCGAAGAAATCGAACTCCATTGTGGGACGAGACATGGGTGAGCTTCGATTTTCTCTGGTTAGAGATCGAATTCTAGCGTTTTAATTGAAGAGAAATTAATTTCGCGAGAGAAGGAGCTAACTGAAACGGTACGTACTTTTCTCCAACTCCTCAACAGGAGGAAGATTGCAAGTTACGAATATACCCTTTGTTTCCCAGTGTATTGACAGGGGGAAGCCCGAATTTTTTTCTCCCAGATTTTTTTTTTTTGAAAAAAGGTCTCCCAAATTTTTTTGGGTGTTCACGATGAACCCATGGAAATCCCCTCGTAACAAGGGGCGGTCTGGAAAAGGAGGGTTGAATTTATTATTTATGGAACGGAGAGAATAAATAAATGATTGATTGAAGATTAGTCGGATCATAAAAAGATTGCGAGGTTCGCTTGTAATCTCAAAATGATACTAAATAACCAAAATTTTGAAACTCTTTCTGTTAACGGTTTGCGTCTATTTGGGAAGCAAAATTTTTGGTAGTGATTGATAAGTGGGGTACTTCCGTAATTTAACGGATACGACGAGGCTAAATGAGGATGCAGGAGTCCTGCACGCATACTTTGCCTCAAAAATAAGATCTCAGTATCTCACGCTACTGTTGCGCCCTCCCCCCTCTCATCACTCCACCCACCTGCACTCGAGAGTCCCGTCACCGCTACAACTGACTCACGTGACCCCATATTCCTTCGGAAAGAAACCCTGCAGTCGTGGCCATTTGCGGTGACGGGATCCGCTAAGATCCTAACCGACGGATCCGCGTCATTTTGTACGGAAGCGAGGGAGCGACACAAGAGATAAATATCGCAAATGTTTCGTCTTAGTTACGGCCTTTTGATCCCAAATCTTGTTAATTTCAGATCAGGCCCTTTTTATTAGCAAGGCCTTAAATAATAATAATTGTCAGAACTTTTAGAGGTGCAGCTGCCCTTCTAAAGCACCACATAAATCCGCTCCTGCATATTTGCTACAAATTTTTAAAACAACTTAATCTATTTAGGGGTCTTGTTTAAAACAACTTAATAGATTTGAGGGTCTTATTAGAAATATCTTATGAAATTGGAGGTCTAATTTAGAAATGTGAAGAGTTGGGGTCTAATATAACCAAAAGCCTTTCTTTAATCTCAAACTTTGCACCACATATATATAAGCTATCAAGTTTTATGCACGTGCAATGCACGTGGTTAAATATCATTATTAAGTATTTTTAATTTATTTTCTTACTAAAATTTATTTTTCGGTTTTATTTTGATAGTTTTGCTTACTTATGTTTCTAAACTTTAGCATTGTGATTATTTAATTTCTTCTGATGTTTGTTTGAATTGGCTAAACTGAATTTAAATTTTCATGTGATATTTGCATTGACAGGAAACAAATGTAATCCAAAATCAATTTTAATTTTCATGTTATTTGTATTAACACTAAGTTTAACTTGAGAAAGTATAATATTGTGAAAGTGAAGAACACTTAAAAAGTAGCGTTTATGAAAGGAGTACAAATAATTAAAGCCAATATGCCAAGATGATTGGTTAAAAGTGAGCTAGAGAAAAATTAAAGAGAATATGAAGTTTGCTCCTAATTATTGGTAGACTTCATAAAAAAATATGAACTAAAGATTAATGCTAACTCTAATATACTTTTATATTACAACAACATCCACATAAACATATAAAAGTATTTTAAAAAATCATGAAAATTCATTCTAAAGATTTCTATTTTTATTAAAAAAAATAAACTATTCTATAAAATATTTAGAAAATGGATCTTGTATTCCTTCTATTTTAGTTTTTTTATTGGGTTGAGATTAATCCTTCTCCACCCTTATCTTTTTCTTGGATAATTCTAGAGTGATGTCTTCATCGTCTACATATATTGTAAAATCAATTTCATCTTTTGTCTTCTCGTCTTACTTCACAAAGAAGTTGAAAATATTTCCGATGTTTAATACAAACTTTTGAAAGTATGGACTTTGATTATTTTTCTGTTTTAATAAGAATAAATATTAATTTTATATATATGAAATTTTTGTGTCTCTAATTTATTGTTTAAATAAGGCTAGGAGTTATCTTTTTCTCCACAATGAATTCTTTTATTATGCATCCCCTAAAAGTTTTTATTGTGTTAACTAGTGTTATCTTTACTCTGTCCATGTCATTTTCCTTGAGGATCTAAAATAAGTAATTGTATTTTTTATTATCAATTTGCCTTAGATTATAATGTTAATATATAATTTTGATATGTTTATTTCATGAAGAAGGGATATTACTTAACCTTTGTGACGCCCCTGGTTTCACACATGACTGTAGTCCAAGGTGAATCCAGATATGTCAAACCTGTCATGCACCCACACTATGCATAAACATATTTCACCAATCACAGTAATATCCTCTAGTGAAATCGAATAGAAGTGCAGGTACAAAATAGGCAAAATAAGAAAATAAAAACCATAGACATGATATAGAAGAGATATCTCATAAATAAAAATCATGTCTTAACTAAAATACATCTGATATCTAGAATAATAAAAGTGCCTCAACATGAATCAACTAAAAATCGTACTAAAGCACACTACCTTTACAATATGAAAAACAAAACTCTAATGTCTGAATGAAAACATAAAACTATAGTGGAGTCTAAACTACTAAAATAAGTGACGACGACTATGCCAGAACTCCGTCATACTGCGGCTCTCTGAATCCCTGAGTTGTCTGAAAGGAAAAAAATAAAAAGAACAACAACAAGAGTGTCAGAGGGCTACAACAAGACCACCTCCATCCCCCTAGGAAAAGGGATGCTAGATGAAGTGAGTGCTCTATTTATTAAACATAGTCTACCTAGATAATTTTTCTCGTATCTAATGGAATTAATATTTAGACACCTATAATACGAGATATTGTATGTCGAGCAAAATAATCCAAACAATAAAACCCTCATGTATATACCATATGTCTCAAATTATAGATACATAAACATTAACACCAAATAAGAGATAAGCAATCTAAATGAAAACAATAATTAGAAATCCATAACACGATACTAGTATATCGAGCGAAATAATCCAAACAAGGAAACCCTCATATATATACCATATGTCTCAAATTGTGAATCGCTAATCATTGATCTCAACCTAAGAATAGCAATACATAAAGTAAAGATATTCATAATGTCGTATTTATAATATCTTCTACTATCACTAGGAAGATAAGATAAATATCAACATATAAATCTCGCATACTTTCAAGGACAAAGTACATCGGTTATTTATCTCAGCAATGGATCATATACATAACTGGTATCCGCTAAAGATTCGGGCTACCAACAACCGACACAATACAAATCCTTGCAAGTTATGATTTATTACATTTTTATGCGAACGGATTACCAAATCGGTATCCTAACTATGTACACGGCTTATTAGTCTCATCGCGATCTCAGTGCGTAACATGAGTGCAGGACGGCCTACCATATAGGTATCCTAAAAGATGATTCACAAGCCTTATCGCACCCTTGTACGGACGGACTGCTAAACAAAGCATCCAAACCAGACTCAATGGCCTGTACAAATGGTATATCGACATGCTACCCCACGTAGTACTGAGCTGAGCTCATCAACGATATCTACTCATCAACGATATCTAACCCCGTGTATAACTGTGTAATGATACTCTATCTCACATGTAATCAGATCAAAACTCAACATAATCCCCTTAAGGATACCCATGTGTGAGCAACGGCACTGTTCGTGTGTACTCGTGACTGTACATGTAAAGAAGTACGGCTTGAACCCCACGAATGCATCCAAACAGACAAGAAAAATCACTCAAGGCCAACAAAACAGGAACAAACCGGTCGACCGCCCTAGGGGTGTCGGTCGATCGGACCACAATCATGCACAAAGTGCATGTTGATGTTTGATAACACACAGTTGATGGGGGGTTTCCGTCGTGGGATGCAATCCTGATCTCCGTACTGACAGCGAAGAGGGAGAGGATGGAAGGTGGGTCCGACTCCTCCTCCGACTTTATACTCAATCCTTAGACTGAAATTCCTAATCTTTCTGCGCAAACAAGAAGAAGAAACCTGTAAGAGGACGGGGATCAGTTCCCCCATGGTACCTCCGACGGTCAAGTCAGGTGATGAGCTTGAGTGGAGTTTGAGGGAAGATCCGGGGATCATTGAGGTCCTAGAATTCATTACACTTATTGAGTTTTTAGAAGAAGGCATGACCTTTTAGAATTGTTCAGAGTTTAAGAAAAAAGAAGGTTCATAAGTCTCCCCTGAGTTAAAAGTTTTTCGTCCCCTTTTCTTTATCCCCTTACCTCCTTTTATAGTCCCTTTCCTCTGAGATTAGACCTTTGGCTTTAACTACACACAGGAGGGCGGTTGAGGGGTGAGCAGACAGGTTGCTGAGTCATCCTTTTCTTTATAGATGTCGGTTGGCGACTGGAGGAGAAGTCATTCGAGCATAGGAGAGAGCATCTTGAAGATATCCCAGATTCGATAGATGAGACAGAACGGAGGATAGGCCGACTATTTGGGTCTCCTTCCCTTGCCAGATGGCGACTGGTGACTGGAGGGGAAGTCATTCGAGCACAGGAGAGGGCGTCTTAGAAATATCCCAGATTCGATAGATGTGACAGAACGGAGGATAGGTAGACTGTTTAGGCCTCCTTCCCTTACCAGATGGCAGCTAGCGACTGGAGGGAAAGTCATTCGAGCACAAGAGAGTATCTTAGCGATCCCTGGGAAATGACATGCGGGCATAGTGAGCTATTTTCTGCACGAGGTTTGTCAGAGCAACGATCTTGAGAGGATCGCTCAATAAATTATGGTGTTGATTGATGTATCTCTGAAGGTAGCTTAGCTGGATCTTATCCCCTTAGTAAGGACGGG